AAGTCACTGAGCTGCACAGCAGGCTCTGCTCAATCTTGTTATCCTCCTGCTTCCACCTCCCAGAGCACGGGGTTAGAGGTGTGCCCCGCCAGCTCTGGCAGATGGACAGACAACTGAGTCTAGTGCACTCTGGCCTTCTTCTCCACATGGCACAGCAGGAGCCTAGAAGCTCATGTCTTTGTGAGCAAGTATGTGTAAATTATCCATGCTCTGTTGGTATTGGGAGTGGGTAGGATAAGTGAGACAAAGTATTTAATGCACTGTAACCCTAGTGCAGTAGATGACAGAAGGACCACAGAATGCTATCACAATTATTAACTGAAGTAGTTTTAGTAGAATATGGAATGCATTCCACCATAGCCCAGCCTCTGACTGAACCAACTATTTCAAATTGCTGAAGTACACTAAAGGTTTACAAAATACAACCACAGTATTTTGCTTGATTATAAGAAGGAAAACAAAGAAAGAATCTTAGATTTTTTTTTTAAGTCTGTGTGGTGGCAGATGGGTGGGAGTATTAATTTGCTTGGTTTCCAAACCTGAAGTGAAGCCCAGAGGACACTTCTGCATGTGTTGTGGCTTTGAGCTTTACCCCCTCCTTCATCCCTTTCTCTTTCCTCTACTGGCCTGTGTGGCAGTGAGCAAAGTAGTTGTGCTGAATCTTGTCCTTCTGCCAAGATATTTCTGTCTTGGCATGAGTGAACCATGGCCTGACTCCCCTTAAAACATGGGAAACGGACGAGGTGGCACATATCTATAATCCCAGCACTGGGGAGGTTGAGACAGAAGGGTCGCTGCAAGTCAGAGCTGCATAGTGAGACCCTGTACCAAATTAATTAATTAATTAAAAAGTGGGCCAAATTAAAGCTCTCCTCCTTTAATATGTTGTGTCAGGTACCTGACCCAGCAGTAGAAATGCTGGCTAAAGTAGTCGAATGCCATCAATAGAGAATAGATTGAACAAGCCAATTAAAATTAGAGGTATATAGCTAAACAAGAATTGGAAGTACATCATTGAAGAATGCTAGAAAATATTTATTGTTCAAAGCAGTTGCAGGCAGCCTGAGACAAAAATGAAAGTCAAGCATTTGGGCAAAACTCCTCCTGTCTCCTTCCTACGCCCTTAAGTATAAAATCTGTTAATTAGGAGCATGTGAAAGTCACTCTGAACTACACAGGCCATCTGTGTTTCTCTAAGAACAGAAGATGCAATGGTTTCTAATGCATACAGAATCGGATGAAACCTTCGCTGTTTTCCTTCCCATGAATGAGCAGAGGAAAGGTCTTGAAACACCTCAAAGCAAAGTCAGATTGCTCATCCTTCTAGCAATTTAGCAAGTAAACATCCACATCTTTCCAGAGTGAGTGCACCCTGCCGCCCTCTCCTCTCCTTGCCCTCTCTGGGGCCACTCACCCACTGTTGATGTCGTCGGACCGGAGGCTTTTCCCCAGAATGTCGCCATCGCTCATGTATCCACCCACATCCACCTCTGAAGACATGTCCAGGTCACTGCTGGCTTTCTCACTCATATCCATCTGTGACATGTTTCCCAGCCGAGAGACAGCGGCTCTGCGGAGAGGGGTTGTGTACATGAACCTAGAGGGGTCGGTGTGGATGAACCGGCTGGTCCCACTGCGGGAGTAACCGGCGCCCATGGAGGGCGCGTCTCCGGCCTGCAGCCGTGGACTCGCCTGACCGAGCCTCCAGGTCATGGGCGTAGGTCGACCTGTCAGGTTGGGGATGCTCCTTCCATTCACTTCGGTCGTCACAGTGCTGTCAAATGTTGTCTCCAGGGTGCTATCAAAAAAATGGAGAAATAGCTATACTGTGCTCCACTGGGACCAAATTCTCAAAATGCATGAAGACAAGTAAACCTAGAGTTGAAGAAATCATATTTTAGGAGAATATGACTTTTATTTAAAAAGCTGATTTATGTTCAGGATCATTTTGTGGCTCTGATCACCTCTGCAGAAATCAATATGTGGGGCTTATGAGATAGATCAGTGCTCTAAAGTGCCTGCTTAGGTAAACTTAGGCAAACTCGGGGACTGCAGTTCCATCCCCAGCACCACATGCCATGTCAACCCAGCCCCCAGGGTGGGCTGAGCCAGCCAGAAAAGAAAGAGAAGAAAGGAGGGAAGGAAGGAAGGAAGGAAGGAAGGAAGGAAGGAAGGAAGGAAGGAAGGAAGGAAGGAAGGAAGGAAGGGCAGAGGGCTTTTCACTCCCCTTTTTTTTTTTTTTTTGTTTACATCATTACATTTTGGATAGAACAATCATCTAATTTTCTCAGTAAATCCTTAATCTCCATAACCATCTTAAATATTTTTTGGATGTTAACTACAATCATGCTTGAATATTTTCTACCCCTATTTTCTAGGGCAAGTATGTAAAACCCCAGTGATGATGCAGTAGTTGGCAATAGCTAAGTCAGTACGAAAGGGAAATTTTAAGGATAAAGGGAAGGATCCAAGTCCCTGGGGAGGTGGTGTGAGTCTTAGTTTAAGGATAATCGCTAATTGCTGCATAAAATGTGAATGTATCAATGGCAAGGATAGCCAAAGAGTCCTCTTTGTATCATAAGAAAAGGAAATGGCTTGCTAATAATCTTTCCTTCTGCATTTGTCCAAAGATACACAAAATTGAGAAAAACCTGTGGCTTATCTGAGTCCCACGAAGACTAGACATAGTTTCCTCTAAATTCTGCCTCAGATCTGCTATGTTTTTAACTGTTCTCATTCTTCTTGTCTCTGGGTCTTCACCTGGAAAAAGAGCATAGGAATTGTTCATCATGCCATTTGCTGTTCTCAAGATAATTATATGTGTAGTAGATATATAGCTATCTTGGTTACCTTTTCCTCATTGCTGGGTTACAATATCTGACACCCAACATGAAGGAAGGAAATATTTATTTAGCTCACAGTTAGTGGAGGTTTCAGTCCATACTCGGCTGGCTCCAAGGCAGAGTGGCACATGGCAGAGGGCAGCTGTTCATGGAGGCAGAAAACAGCAAAGAGCAAAAGGAGGAGCAGCAGCTGCAGCAGCCGGCAGCCTCTCTACCTCCTTATATGTGTATGCAGATTATCTGCCACAGGGCAGGGGTAGAACTCACACCCGTAATCCCAGCATTGGCTCAAGAATTATTCACAAACTCTAGAATCCTCCCCAAGACTGCATGAGGCTTTGGAGGGACACCTGGACACAAACCATAATAATGCTATAAACTTATCTTCCTAGAAGTAAAATGGATGAGGAGAAAATTCTGAATAACCGTGACCACCTGAAAATTGCAATTTTTAATACAAATGAAATATGAATGGAAAAAAGTAAGATTATAATCAATAAATCTGAAATTGTATAAGTACAACAATATTTGCAGGTCTATGCCTTGATCTTTGCAAAATTAGAGTCATTTGAAAAGACACTGTGCAATTCGCCATGTAACTGAACTTAATTTTAAAAATCTAAAATTATTCAGATGTTAATTATTTCAAAACACTCCTATTTCTAAGTATACTCAGATTAGTAGGGTTAGGTTTCCTTTTAAAAAGAATGTATTTACATTTTGTCTTTATTTTTAATTAGTAAATGTTTTAAGTACATAATGATTGCATATTTTTATTTTAAAGAGAAAAATGGCAATAGAGTTTCAATACATATTAGTAGGAGAACTATAATAATATATTCCATATTATTGCCTTTGTAGTAGTTATTCAGAGTGCAAGATCTAGGCATGATATTTTGTACAAACAATATTAACATAAACATTACTTTTCAATGAACTAAGAGAAACTAGCTGTATAGCAATCATAATTATCTTATGTACAAATAATTTTTTTCTCATTCTTCTTTTTCTCTTTCCACTATCACAGTTTATCTTTTCATTTGAACAGTTTCTTCCCAATTCACAATACCTAGTGTACATTTTAGATCTTCTTTACTCAGTAAGTTTCTCAAACTGCTGAGAAAATATGGTATTTACACATACTTATGAGTGTGATCTTGAGTTGCATCCATTTGCCTACAAAAGTCTCCAGGTTATTCTCTTTGTGGCTGTATGGAACTCCATTACACAAAAAACAGATCCCTTCATCCATTCCTCAGTTGATGGGAATTTGTGTTGTTTCCAAGTTTTTGCTATCACAAGCTGTTCTTCTATAAGTATGGGTAAACCTATATTGCTGTGGTGTGATATTTTAAAGTTTTCTGGGAAACAAACCAAAAGGGGAATAGATGGCATCACCAATCGTAGTTTTTGAGGAATCTCCACACTGATTTCCACAGTGGTGTACCAGTCTACACTTCCACCAACAGTGGAGAGGGTTTCTTTTTCCCCATAGCCCATTCTACATTTGTTATTGGTTTTTTAATAGTAGCTGTTTCTGGGGTGAAGTGGCATCTCATTGCTGTTTTAATTTGCATCTCTTGAATGATCAATAATGTTGAACATTTTTATGTGTTTATTTGTCATATGAATTTCTTCATCTGAGAAGTGTGTATTAGTCTCTGCTGCCCATTTTTGGATTTGTTGTATGAATTTAGGGGATTTTTTTTTCAATTCTTTACTAGTTCTTGAATAAGTTCTTTGTCTGAGGGACAACTGGCTATAAATTTTCCTGCTCTGTGGGTTGTCTTTTCACTCTGCTGATGATCTCTTTTGTTATGAAAAGCTTTTTAATAAGTTGACATCCTATTTCTTGATTCTTTATATTATTTCCCTGACAGTCTGGGTTTTGTTCATGAAGTTTCTGCCTACACCCACGTCTTCAAGATTTCAGCTTATTTTCTCTTCCAGTAAATTTAGTGTTTTTATTTTAATACTAAGACCTTTGATCAATTTGGACTTTATTTTAGTGCATGGTGATAGACATGGATTCTAGTTTTAGTCTTCAGCAGGTGGAAAGCCAGTTTTTCCAGCACTATTTATTAAAGAAGCTATCTTTCTTCTAGTGAATGTGTTTGGCTCCTTTGTCAAAGGTAAGGTGGTTGAATGTGTTTGGGGTTGCATCTGCATCTTCTATTGTGTTCCACTGATTCTCAGGGCTGTTCTTTTCCCAGTGCCATGCTAATTTGATCACAGTAGCTTTATAGTGCAATTTCAGATCAAAGATTATGATAACTCCTGACTCATCTTTGTTGCCCAGAATTGCTTCTGCTATGCCAGATCTTTTTTTTTGTTTGTTTGTTTTTTTTTGTTCCAATGAATCTTAGGAATGTTTTCTCTAGAGCTGTGAAGTATGTTGATAGTATTTTGATTGAGATACATTAAATCTGTAGAGCAGTTTAGGCAGTAGGGCTATTTTCAATATAATGGTTCATCCTATCCAAGAGCAAGGCATATCTTTATATTTTCTGAAATCCTCTTCAATCTCTTTTTTCAGAGTACTGTAATGTTTAATGTATAAATCTTTTATGTCCTTTATTAGCTTGTTCCTAAGTATTTCATTTTTTGAATTTTATCATGAAAAGTGTACTTTCCCTAATTTCTCTCTGTGTAAGTATGTTGCTTTTGTACATAAATGCTATTGATTTTTGAGTGTTGACTTTGTATACCTCTGCATTACTGAATTTTGATATTAAGTCTACATTTTGGGTGGAGTTTTGTGTTCTTCTATGTAGAGTATCAAGTCTCCTGAAAATAATGATAATTTTAACTTCCCTGTTTCTAGTCTTTTATTCCTTTTTATTATCTTTTTTAATTTCTCTGGCTAATGTTTCCAGAACTGTATTGAATGGGAGTGGTGATGTGTATCCTTGCCTTGTTATAAGTAATATATTTATTATCATTACATAATGAGTACCCAAATGCACAGTCCCATCCCAATTCTTTTTTGTCCCCTACTCCTGCCACCCCTTCCAACTTTTGGTTCTCTTCCCATGTGCCAAAACCCTACCATTCTTTTTCTTTCAATTCATTTGTTTTCTTTTTTCTTCTTTTTTCTTTTTTAAATTTGGAGACTAAATATGAGGCCTTTCTTATACAGGCAATGGCTGTCCCAAATATTTTATTTTACTAGACTCATGGACCAAGTGTCACATTGGATAGATCTACTTTATAAAGGCAATCAAATCATCCAGAATGGCAACACTAAAGCTCAAGTAAAGTCTTATACAGCTAAATCCAAATGACTGTGACTAAAGGACACTAAAAAGATCCAGCCCTTCCAGTGTGGTAAATGCTGGCCTTGCATGACTAACACCTGCCATTGGGGAGAAGAAATGTCCTTATTTTGTTCATGGTTATGCAATACTCACCAACTAGTGAGTATAGATAATAGGGCAAACATGGAAAAGGGATACAGGCAACATGGTATATATTTTATTTAATTTGAGCAAAGGCTGATGGAAATTGAAAAGGGGAGAGAGCATAGAAGAATAGAAGAAAGGAAAAAATAAATGGATGGGAGCCAGAAGGGAGTGAGGGATGGAAGAAAGAAGAATTGGAAGGAGGAGATAAGGAGACAGAGGGGATATAACTAGAACACACAGATCAAGAGCAGGAAAGAGGAGAGGAAAAGGAAGAAGAAGAGGAAAGAAGGGAACTATAGGCAAAGCAGTGGAACAGGAAGAGGATAAAAGAAATGGCAAAAAGAGAAGGAAAGTTGATGAAGTAAAATAGCGTGAGATGAATTACACTCTGAATATTGTCACACAGACAACATGCTTATCCACAATCTGTTTAATAATCTAGATTGCACTTCAACCTGTTATCTTACTCCTAATTTATAAAAAAGTATAATACATGTGACACATTCATAATCATAATTACAGAGCTGGCAAGATTTCCGAGGTTAACCTGTCCACCACAGAACTCATTTATGTATCATGTGGGATTCGGCATCTGCCTTTGCCTGAAGACTTCAACACTGCACAGGTTTCCATGCTGCTTTTCAGTCTTAAACAGGAATAAGTGCGAACTAATATTGGGGAATGTGCCATAATTTGTTTGCCTTTAATTTCTACCCAGAAGGCTCACTGTCTCTGAAACAACTGGACAAATTCACACTGGCTTTACATGGTATCCACTGCAAAAGAACAAGACAATAGCTAAAGTCTGTGTGATGTTTTACAGCAAAATATTAGCTTGAGAATTCACTATTTCTCATCCCAGATGTTTGCCAAAACATCTGCCATTCTTCTGCCAAAAATCTTTTATCTTTAATTTATAGATTGCTTGAACAAATTAAAATGTCTTTAATAATATTATTACTTCAAACGGGATATACTGAATAACATAATGTAACTACAACTATTTCTTAAAATGTAAAATTACACGGGATACCTCATGCACATGGAATACTTTTTCTACACTAATTCAAGTCATGAAATCTTTAATCCCCTAGATTAATATCCTTTCAGAACTCAGAACTACTAATAACCTTAGAGACTCTTAACTATATGCTGCCCAGATATTTTACCATGCTTTTCAATAATACATTTGAGAAATGGCTATAAGGAGATCTTCTTTTCATTTTCAAGTAATCTGGTAGATTCTTTGAAGTAAAAGGAAGATTTTGTAGGAAAAGTTTTAAAGGATGGAAAAAGAATATCATTATATTAAGAGGAAAGGAAGAGATAACAAAGTGATTCACCTGGGTCAGCCATTTCTCAAATCTACTATCTGATAACCCTCAGTCCTTTTTCTCTGGGAGAAATTTTAAGATGTAACTAGCATGCATATCAAACACCTGCAATAATATCAAAATTGATATTGGAAGGACTTTCAAAGTCTTAATGTTAATTTTAGGAACACTATATTTGT